GGGTCGAGTGAAATACGTGAACCAGGGAGAGAGCAGACGGATCTTACGGAGCAAGAGAGAGATTGTGATAAGACCTATGGAAGTAGGACTGCGTAATAATATGGCAGATTCTGATCAACATTCCCAGCACAATGGTGAAGGGGTTGATTACGACAGCGTGGAGTGTGAATGGTTTTCATGAATGCCGCTCAAAGGAGGACATCACATTACTTCAAAATAAACATGGTACAAATTGTAACAGTGAAGGTGTGATAAGAGGATATAGGAAATTTATATAGCTCAGGGCAGAAGGGGAGATACCACAACTGTTTAACACACGTTTGGTCAAAGGATCGGCTTCACTTGTCTCTTTGTCGAGTTGTTGTGTGGTGCTAAGACTGGCCAGACTCACTGACGATGTCGACGAAACGTCTGGTAATGTATCATGTCCATGGTCCGACTTTGGAATTGATCATGCATACAATGGACTCCGGACTAGATGCGTTCCTCTAAGTCTTCCTACCAATATGACCGAGTTGCTAAAACAAGGTCAAGCAACCTCAATTATCTTTTTTTTCTCCCCAATTAAAGGTGCTCACAACGTCTATACTACTTTATTCATTTTATTAAGTAGGCTGATTAATTTGTTGAAATGTTTTAATTTATATGTGCTTATTTGACTGCTTGAATCTCCAGTAGGTATTCTTACAAGAGTTATGCTGATTTTGAGGCTATTATACTCTTTAGAATATGCTCTATCTTTCTTTTAATTAAGCTTGACCGTTAACTAGAGATAATTTAATTTAAAAATTATAGGATAAATGACCGAGGCACTTACTCACATACTTTCTTTTATACCAAATCTGTCCTCTTTGACGATCTATCGACTTTATCTTTACACACTGGACCTACTAGCTTTTCCAAGTGAATTATTGAGTTATTTCAACATATTCGATATCAAGCTGACTATAGTTTCTATGGTTTATCCTGGCATAAAAGGCTAAAACTCAAGATAAGTGTCGATACTGCTAAGTAGCTCAATCAATCTTGGTTTGATTAAATTTAGCACACAAAAATTAAGATGTGATGGGACTTTAAGACGATATAATAATTTTTTATTACGCCTTGGTTACTTGAATTAAGGCCTTAATTATTGATAAGAAGTGCCTAAATTATGAGCGATTCTCAAGAGGCTTTGTGATATAGGAATTTTATTTAAATTTTAAACTCCCCACTTTTTAAGCTGGCGTAACGGTTGCTTGATTGTTGACGTCCAAATCTATTGATATATTGCTCTTCATCGGTTATTCTAATTTTATTTTTTTATTTTTGTTTAATCTCTACTTTTAGGTTACTCCTTCGTCTAAGATCGTTGGTGATTTGGCTCAATTTATGGTCCAAAACAAGTTAACGAAAGAGCAAATAGTTGAGCGTGCTGAGGATCTTTCTTTTCCAAAGTCTGTGATTGAATACTTTCAGGGCCTGGTTGGCATGCCCTACGGCGGCTTTCCTGAACCCCTACGTACACGTGTAAGTCTCATAAATGTGGGAATTCACCTCCACCTTCACTTTCTACCTAAACTTTTTAAGCATAATGCTGGACTACCTTTCAGTTCGTTTGAAAAAGTGAGTGAAAGGGATTTGTAAGTTGATCTTACCGCAATTCGAAGTTGGGATACCTTGGAGCTGGGACTGTAAATTTTTGCGAATTTTCACTTGGTTTACCATCACGCGACTCCGATAAATCTTTGCCGAGCTTTCATCCCTCATGTGACGAGCGTCGTCGAAACAGTACACCATGTTTTAGGATAATTTTACAAAAACACTAAGACTAGAAAGGTGGCTGGCTGTAATCCTGTCTACTCCTTATAACCCAACTTTGATTATTTGAAGAGACATCTCATTATTTGGTTGTTTTTCCTAATATTTCCCCAAATGTTTACTGGAAAGTGAGGTGGCTGTGGATGACATGTGATGTGGATGCAGTTGCGATCTAATAGCTGCACCCTCCTCTAAATCACTTACATTTTTATCCTGGAATTGTGCGGTTTGTGCGTACCTTACATTGCATTTATGTTGTGTGTGTGCAATGCTCATTGGACGCGTGGGGTGTAAAAGTGGAGACCAGACTTGAGGCTCCTCTTGCTCCCCTTAGTTAAGCCTATCCAACCACCACAAGTAGTTCCCACTTTATTTCCTACACTCGTTCCTTCTATTCGGGATGTTTAATGTGTTGTTGAAATAAGAGCTACGCCGACATCGAGCTATAAAGGGACTATTTGAAAACCATTTTTTCTTCATTTGTTTGAGCATGATGTTTTAGTAGCCTTCATTTCGCTTAATAACCAGATTGTAAGGTATATTAAACTATTTTCCCAAATGAAATACGGTATAAAAATTCCAATATCATTCTTCATCTTACATTATGCGGTTTTGGATAATAAGTTTTTATTCAAGACTTACTGCTAATCTCAAAGATTACTTTAATCAAACACAAAACAGGTGTATTATTTATGTGCTGGTGCCGTTCTAAATCCTTCCGAAAAGTGTATTTATGTTATATTTAGTCTATCTGCCTCCTTTTTTGGCTTTCCACTGATTTTCCTTCTCCTTACTTCTTAGGCTTCCTTGCTTCTCTTAGCTTTTTTTGCAGATCCTTTGCTTCCCGGTTTTGTGAAACTAAAAGATAATATCCAACTGCTGATTTAAGCTTAGTATTTTCTGTGATGAAAATAGTGCATTTGTATCATCCCCTTGATCCCTTACTTCTCCTTGCTTCTCTGTGAGGATTTTCTTTTTAAGTCTGTAATCGGTAGGTAGGCCAGTAGAGCCTCAACTTACCTTAGTTCCACTAATGTTCATTCTCCTTGTGCGTTGGATGACGAATAATATGGTGAAATTATATTAATTATATAGATTAAGGCATTCTTTTCTTGTTCCCGTAAAAATTCATGCATAAGAATTTGCCAAGTTATTTTAGAACAGAAAAACCACCTGAACTTTTTTACGCTTTACTTCCTTTCCTTCAGGTTTTGAAGGGTAAAGAGTCTCTTCGCAAGCGAGCCGGAGAAGACCTGCCGCCTCTGGACTATACCAAGCTCAAGATGGAGCTTTTCGAGAAGCATGGTCGCGAATTCTCAGAAAAGGACGTAATGTCAGCCTCCCTCTATCCGAAGGTAAAATCTCTAAGCATCAGCGCATACATACTTTTTTTCCACTAACTATATTTTTCTTTGATTCTTTATCTTATGCTTGATCATGGTCTTTTCGTTAGTCATTTGTGCTATACTAGCCTCTAGATAGCAATCATTTGTTCTTAGCCTCTCTCTATGGGCTTATTTTAGTCTTAATAATTAGCATCGTTGAAAATACCACTTACTCGACACCAAGCTCTAACTGTCTACCTCCTTCGCCTCCATCCAATGACTATGATGATAGTCATAGTCAGAGATCTCAGAGAACAATCTAGTTTTTAGGTCTTAAACAGATTTTCCCTGTTCATCTTTAAATATGTCTCATTTGCTTAGACAGCCCATCCACTTACTCATGCACTAATTGGACGGGATTGACATTTATTATTATTACTCTGACACTTACATTGTTTATAAAGATACATACATTTTTCCCATTACGTTGCAGGTATTTGACACCTTCGAGCAATTCCGAAAGACATATGGCCCTGTGGACAAATTGGGAACTCGAGTCTTCTTTGTTGGCCCAAAGATTGCCGAAGAATTCCCTGTACGTCTTGTGTTTTTTTACCATTACAGCTCTCATCGAGACTTTAAATACCAATATCATTATGCGCCTTTTATATTTGATGGCAGGTACACAGCTGCCTCTTCATACAAAGTGTGAATAGAGATAGCCCTAATTTTTAATCCAAATGCGCTACACTTGTGTGGTTTATGGGCTAACTTATTTGCCCCCCAATCTGGGCACCAACGGTTTGGAACACGATAGTGGTGAATGAAGCCAAGTTCAGGCCTGAAGTCCATCACTTATGGGAAGTCTCGGATTCAATATCAAAATTGAGTCATCTTTTCAACTCATCATAGTTGCTTTAACTTTTCTTCTCTGTACAACATTACTATAAGATATTCTATCACTTAATCAATTATATTCATGGCAGTTACGGTCATTTTATGTGTTCACAAACATCGTTATTAGTTATTTTTACATAAGAGCTCGGATAGTATAATGTTTATTCTCTACACTTCATCACAAAACCACACTGTCTCGAGTGCCAACAGTTCACAAGACAGGCGTAAATTACTTTCCTATATCACATTTAGGCACACTTGTATTTACAATTACGTTCGACATGCTACTTATACTCATATAGAGTTGAATTTTTTAATACTACTCTTAATCTTTGAGTAAAGGCTGTATTTATTATAAGTCGCATGAGATGATGACTCTCGACTTTTATCACTTTATTTTTCAAATAAATTTTTTTTATATTCAAGATTTTCTGGTAATATTTAAGCATCTCTCCATATGAACTCAAGAAAAAGGTTTTGATGCCGAATCACACTAAAGGATGGTATTATGCATAAAAAAAGAGTTCCTATTTGTAAAACCTATTGTTGCATAGCACCATGTCTATTTTTTCAATCGAATCTTCAGAATCCATCCGTTCTTTCTTGATTGCTTGTAGTGTAAATTTGCTCAATGGCTGACGTAGAGCTTCGAGCGGATTAAAAGACTAATGAAACAATTTATATGCTTTGTTAGATAGCTTTCTCTTTATTAAGCAAATAAATCATTTTAATGAAAGTGGCTATTTCATTTACATGCTCTACTTGGGGCATTAGAAGCCATGGTAGACATTGCCATCACACTAGAAAATACATATTGGCTCGGCTTAGGTCTTAGAGATAAACCATTCAAATGCCTGCCACTCGTATATTCTATAAGCATTTCATTATCTTTCCAGCACCAAGTGAATGAGCTGGCAATGAGCCGTCCTTCAGGCCCACTGATAGCAGCAAGCTTTCCATCTCATAAAACTGAGACATCTTCCACTATCCGCTGATCATCAAAGAGGATGTGTTGCGCCTACTTTACTGTTACCCTCATTATCTGTACTACTTTAATCTACTGCTTTCACTACTACTCAAAGATGCCTCCTACCAATCATCTGCTCATGAAAGTGATTCTGTTTCGCCCCAGCTCCAAGCTTACCTTCATCATCTGCCCTATTGGTATGATTGCTAACTGACCGTTTGCGATTGTGAATTAATTAATAATTATTCAACACGTGAGGGTTCATGACCTCATAATGGCTTGCTCAAATCCGCTATCTCCAATAAGTCAATTTCGGTTCGGGCAACACCTTAAGGTGCTACAAACTAGAGCAAGTTGGAATACTGCCTGATCATGTCCTTAGAATTTGCACGTGAGACGGATAACCTCAAGACGTCCCACTGGAACATGGCGTTCCTGAACACGTTGTTATGAGTGCAACAGAGATGAGAAAACCTCATTTGGCAAGGAGTGGATTTTCATGAGAATAG